TGCAGACTGGCCTCCAGCTGCAGACTGGCCTCCAGCTGCAGACTGGCCTCCAGCTGCAGACTGGCCTCCTGCTGCTGCTCATCACACTCGCCGAATATTTCTTTATATAATATTTTCTTGATCTTTGCACCCAATTGAATGTTAAAAACAATGTATACATTTTAATCAATAACAAAATCTTTGCTTCTCTATTCACGCGCCAAGAAATATAATTTACTTCAGTTTACGCTCCATGTTTTTCGTTTTTTACCATCATTGACCGTTTTCTTTATTGATTTACGAGTATGAATTTTATATTTGAGATTCCCAGCCTAGTCATATAAATTCAAATGAAATGAAAATAGGTGGGCGTTCGCGAATTTTGATAATAATTTGCAATAACACCAGCGTTCCTCATAAATTCAAATTAATTAATTATTGAATTTTCCGACTTCGTTTCCAATATCTCAACAATATTTTAAGCGCGAATGGTGGATTAACGACCTTTTTTTCGGAATTGTTTACCAAGTCACACCTCATTAATATCGACCTGTGCTGTATGCTGTATGTTACATGCTGTATGCTGCATGTTGCATGCTGTAAACTGTACGTTACATGCTGCATGCTGTATGCTGTATGCTGGATGCTGCATGCTGTATGCTGACTGCAGCCACAGCAGCGCACCTAAAAGAAACAAGTAGTACACAAGAAAGTCTGCAAACACTCGTAGTTTTAAATGAAATATCAGTCGACTATTTTGTTATCTATAGCGGAATTCATTTTTTTCAGAATTTATCAAGAATTTTAGGAAAAACTACAGTGAACGTATACTATAATAATTCTCTCAACGAGATGTGTATCATCAAATAAATAATTGGCAATTGTCTTGATGAAGAAAGAGTTCATGAATTAGAGCCATTGCATTATTTACTCGGTTTTAAAAGCACTTACTGATAACTTGAATGTGTTGAAATTAAGATTTGTGACTGACATTGGATGTATGAACTCACTACAATCAAATTGTTATAGTTAACCATCCAAATTAGAGAATTTTCTTGTCTATCACAGAAAATACTTTGATGGCAGACTATGCCAAAGTTGACAATTTGACCTCAAAAGAACAACTGACAACCAGACTCTGGGCTGCGGTAAGAACTATCGCACGACGTCCACGACGTGCACCTGTGACGTCTCACGTGGCACCTGTGACGTCACAAGTGGCATCTTATTCACCAATCAAGTGCGAGACTGACGACGCCACGTGGGAAGTGAAGCAATTTACAGAACTTTTTTTGTTAAATTGAGACAAATCAAGAATGGGCTACATCCTACATTCAAATCAGTAAGTTCATTGAATGTAACAGATTAAATGGTGTCTCATTAGACAATATATCATAACATAACATAACATAACGTAACGTAACGTAACGTAACGCAACGCAAGGCAACGTAACGTAACGTAACGTAACGTAACCTAACATAACATAACATAACATAACATAACATCTGTCTCTTATACACATCTAGATGTGTATAAGAGACAGACATAACATAACACAACATAACATAGCATAACATAACATAACATAACATAACATAACGTAACATAACATAACGTAACATGACATAACATAACTGGCAGGGTGGCCCAGTGGTTAAAGTTCAGAGTGCCGGGATTGGCGCAGAGAGGCGCGGGTTCGATCCCAGCTCTGTGCGCCAGTTTCTGGTCCGAATCGGCGAGGAGGCCGGGCGGTTAAGCACAGCAGAGTTGAAGCAGCGAGTTGCGCGTTCGAGACCGCTACAAGCTGTGAATGTTCTGCTAAGTTTTTTCTTGTCTCTCACGATTAAATAGAGCAGAATGCAAGCAAAAAATGCGTGTTCCATTGGCTAATAAATGTTACATGTTAATGACATCTTTACATCTATTATGTGTGATACGCTTCTAGAGTCAGGCGTAGGCCGAACAGCTCTTAAGCTCTTTGTTGGTGGCGAAATAATCGGTGCCAACGGCCCATGCTGTCTGTGAACATACGGTTGCTCTATAAAAAAGGATGAAACAGAAATTATGATGTTCGTAATTCACTTATTTGAAACGTTTTGAATACTTGTTTGACCTGCTTCTATCTGTTGACATGAATATTGGTCAACACGAGACTCGTTTATTTGTCTCTCCTGCCGCCGTCATTCTGTTGATGCCTTCCATTGTTTGTCGAGGCTCAAATGTTGGCTGGTGTGCCCGCACTTCTTTGATCTCATCAGCTGCAAGTGTACAGTGTGCCGCTGCCTTGATGCCTAGTAACTTTTAGAGGAATTAAGTCGGGACGAAAATAGCCACTGCTGGGACGCGTTGCCATGGCAGCGCCGTGTTCGGGATGCGGTATGTTTGCGTCCTCAGTTACGGCAAGGAAGTCGCTCTTGCCTTGCCTCCTAATATTGGCCGCATTTCGCGCTCAATTCAGGAGCTAAACGGCTACTTTTAACTTGCCCTTGCTTTATATTGAGGCTTTCAGATTTCGAATTAATGGAATTGTGAACCATGAGCTAGAGACGTCATAAACATGACAAAGTGAACTAAAGAACGAAGAATCGTGTTCGAACATCTCTATTCATCTTTCATAGCATTCTCATAGCATTCGTAACATAGAGTTAACTCTTGCAGTTAAGTTTGACTGATTTTAGAGCTTCGAATACAGTGAACCAAGATTTTATACAATGCCAAGTCTTCGCCCAGTCCAAACTTTACACTCACAGGCGATGCGTCAGTTGGCGCGAGCTGTGGCTTCGGCGGTCCTATCTCTTGTAGACAATCCAGAACCACAGATCGAAAGTTCGAAGCAACGTAAACATAAGAAAACTCGTCCTCAGCTATGCCGCCCAACCCTTGTTCTTCCAGAAAAAGAGCTAGAACGAGTTAAAAGATACATTGAGAATGCTCGACCAAAGCGGTCTAAGGAAAATCTCTTCCATGAAGTCTTGACGAGTTTCACTCACTTGATGACAACGTCCATAACTCCGGGAAAGCGTCAGAAATATGATCAACAGTTTTTACTTAGAGTTTCCAACTTTGAAAAAGGCTTCTCTTACGTGTTAGATCTGTTCCTGGATTTCGACATGAAGTGTGTGGACTTAAAAGAAGTGCAGCATTTGCTCATGAACTGGGTCGATTCAACTCGTTTGGCAAACCGAGATCCAAAAGCTGAGTGCGTTATGAACCATGGACAGGTTGAGGGCGCCATGCTTAAAGTAGTGGGTCAGCGAGCCAATAAACTACATCACGTAGAACGACTCGTGTGGCCCCATCTAGTATCTGGAGAACTTTTGCGACTTATTGGAGGGCATTGCGCTGCTTTACAAGAATTGTGCTTAGCTTGTGACTGTCAGGTGGCCGGGAGAGACGAAGATGAGAACACGTTCACGCTGATGGCAGGTAACGGGACGTGGGAAGATGATGTGGCAAGAGCATTATCCAGCTTGTACGGTCGCGTCCCAGGCAATTTCTCTGTTACTAAGCCAACGGGTTGTCCGAAACTCAGAAAACTAATCTTGCCCCATCTAGAAGATGAAAATGGCATCGCAGCTTCGTCTCTGGCCTGCGCACTTTGTGTCTTGCCTCAATTGGAATATGTGAGTGGAATTCCAATGATGTCTGCGCTCATGAAATTTAGAGGAAAAAATAGTGCAGCTAAGAGCATTAAACTTAGAAATATCGGAGACCACGACCTTTTCATGCGTCGGCCATCTCCCAATGTCTCATACCTAAAGGAAATCCTACCTCGACTAGATTCGATCGACATCATTGCGTCACCAGCCATAACTCGCGGCTTGGCGCAAATGTTTCCAAACATCACAACCCTCAAAATAGAGTGGCCTGACTTCGAAAATAGCACCAAATTGTTTTCGAACCTCGTGACGCTGGACTTAATTCTAGATTACCGAGGTGTATGGCAGCTTCTTCGTAACTTGGGCAAACATTGTCGTGCTTTAAAAAGTCTAACTTTGCGACAGCCAAGCTTGCTTGTGAGCGACGACCACGAGGAAGGAGTCGCACCACCAAAGTTTGCCACTCTGGAGCATTTCCATTTATTTCGTTCCAGCTTCATTGAGTTTACAGCATTCAAAAATCTAATGATGGGCTGCACTAACTTGAAGAAGCTCCACCTTACGTTGAGCAACGATCGCAATTACATCGTGGACGAGTTGGGAGATGCTCTAATAAGAAATGTGATTCCGTACTTCGGAGTTCTCGAAAGCTTCAAAATTGAAAGTCTGTATCGGTACAACCTATGCATGCACTTGAATTGTACACTGTCAATTGACACAGTTCGCTGCCTCATCAAACACTGCCCCAACATCTCCTACATCGGCCACCTCGATTCCTGGGATGTTGTTGATCAAGATATTGAAAAATTAATGGAAGAAATTAAGCAGCAAAATTTAGACCTTGTGGTACAGTGAAAAGCTTTTCTCGGCGTTGCTAGTTGCCGAAGACCCGAACTGCAGGAATAATGTCATGAGTCGTCTCTCTTGTGGACAGTTGAATCTTATTTTGCACAAAAGTTAGTATCTCTACGATCACACAATTTTATTTATTGCTCGACCAGCTCTGAAAATGTTCAGCATTGCAATATTTGCTTAATAAGATAAATGGAAAATTATAGACCCTAATCTTTTTTATTATGTCATATGACATTTTTATTTCTATTGTTGCAAATATACAAGGTTATCAATACAATTAAAAATGTATGTGGTAAGTTTATTTTTGAAATGTTTTAGAATGTATCAAGAACTTTGTGCAGTGGGTTTCAAATACTAGGTAAATTATTACAACAGATTAATGGATGCAAAGATTTATTAATTTATGCTAAACACAAAAATTGCACTCCGAGCTATTCATAATTGGTGTCCGATCTAAATAGCAATCGCAAGTTTCGCTTATTATAACACAGATTATTCTCTTGTCACTAAAATCACGGTATTTACGCACAATAGAAACACGAAATACTAAATAGAGTAGCTCATTTGCATTCAGCCATGAAAAGCTACATGAACACAACTGGCAGTAGCGTTGACTTAGGAGTATATCACTCGTTACAAGCTTAAAGTTAGAAGTATATAATAAATAATTAGCAAAACTTTGACTCTGAACTGTCCTTAAAAACTATTTTTGCCGTAGATTGGTCATGGGAGGTTACATTAATTACATGGATTTCCTTAACGAACTTGACCTGGAGTGGTAGTGCTATAGATAGTCAGCCGTTAGATATTTCCTGCTTGCTCTACATGACGTGAAAATGCAAAATTGTTGTGAAAACTTTTTTTTTTGCAATCCAGTGGTACTTGTAGAATTATGTACTGCGAATATTAATGCAAAATAAAGCGTAAAACATATAATTTCTACCTATTTTCCTTCTAACTCAATTTAATTTTAGCTTCCTAGTCCTGATGTAGCCAAAAGATTGGAACTTGTTGAAGATCTCTAATTATTACTACTAATTTTAATTGTTTTGAATTCGCGAGTACTTTACATAATCATAAATGAATACTTAGCAGTGTTATTGACAACAAATTCGCATGGCGGTTAAAGCTCTGGTTCAATTTGAATTAATGCAATTTTAAAGTCGATAGAATTATCGGAACCACACGCTCTTCGTTCAACGGGCAACAACGAAGTCCTGGATATAAAGTGATAAAATAGCGTGTACCCGTTGTCTCTTGCGTGTTTTTTCATGGAACCACGCGCTGCGACATGACTGGTACGTCGTCCCGTCCACACATGGCGCTGGTGGACGACACATGGCGCTGGTGGACGACACATGGCGCTGGTGGACGACACATGGCGCTGGTGGACGACACATGGCGCTGGTGGACGACACATGGCGCTATGGGTTGTCCATGCTCAGGCTGATGAGGCGCAAAGGACGGACTGGTACTGCGACGGCTTTAGGCTTCAAGGGGCGTTTTGGTTTGTCGAGGGGAGGAGGGGGAGGATGTCGTAAAATTTGTTTTCCTGTCACCTGAAACATAGATCGTAGTAAACGTTAATATCTACATAATTCCCAACTATAAGGCCCCCCAAACTGCAATGTAGAATTTAAAACGTAGAATTCGTCTCCAAGAGAAAAATGTTTGCTTCATTATGTGTGAAAATTCATGAAGAAGTTAAGTAGTACTGTTTTTTAATTCTGAATTTGCTTCAGACACATACAGAGGAAATCAAACATTTTTTGGGTATTATTTTCTACTAATAATGATATGAAATTTGGCTTCACTGATAGTAACGCACAAATTCAGTTAGGCGAAAAATAATCAATAATCATTTGTATATTTTCCTTACNCTGCTTCTGTCTCTTATACACATCTAGATGTGTATAAGAGACAGTGATATGGCTGGGCGGTCTGCAGCTTCTGTGTGTCGCGGTAAATGAGCTCGAACTCTCCCGTGTCGGCGTCGCGACACGCGCGGTAGTCAACTACCACTGCGGGTTAAGAGGAATCCAACGTTAAATCAAATAGACAAATTTTCCATTTCATTTTTGTTACCTCGTATGTTAAAGTGTTGCCTTATATGTTAAATTGTCACCTCTTGCGCAGAAGAGCTACTTCATAAGCTTAAGTCTTATCTCTTATGCTAAAGTTTCGCTGAAGTTTTACCTCTTTCGCTAAAGTTTTACCTCATACGCTATAGCGTTACCTTTAATGATATCCTGAAGACACTGGGCGCATAGACGACGGGTGACGGAAGAGGTCGCCGCCATGCAAGGCGACGAGTTTATCTCAATAAGCCAGGGTCTGAAGAGAACAGGACGCGTGCGGTTGAGTACGAATTCGAAGGTTTAGTCCAGCAAAAAAAAAATTAGTTGTAACTTGAAGTACCTCTCACAGTTTTAAATATATTTTATCTGAAGTATACTTTTGCAAACTTGGTAAATTCAACGATCAATCTATTTCCGAACAGCGCAAAGATTACGAATTCATTCAATATATACTTTGACTGATCTATTTTCGCGCCGCTTTCAAGTTTTGAGGACCTTCAGGATCCCCAAAATGCGCATTATTATGTCACCTGAGGTCCTCCGACAGCATGAAGTCGGCGCCGAAAAGTTCGAAGCCATTCCTGAACGCGTCCATCTGCACCTGCGCGGCCAGCATGGCGGCCACGAGAGCGTCCTTCATCCCGGTATAGATGGTATCCTTCCAGGCTCCACCCCACCCGCTCTCTCTGGCGTAATACAGGAAGAAAAATTGCAACATCCAAAAACAAAGAGAACAAAAACGCGCAATCTATAAATAAATATTTATTTTGTTCTTCCTGCACTAGAGAAAAAGAAATTTAAGCAGTAAAAGTGAACTCGGTTACCTTTTGAATAACGGTTGTTAATTAAATCCACTATTATTATCGTTGTTAGCTTTCGGAAGCGCCCTGTAATCTAATCATTGATTAGATTACAAAGATTGATTGATAGATTGATTAGATTAAGTAAGTATCTTCAATGCAAATAGAATTATTAGAATAAGTTTTAAATAAGTTAGCACAACATTTTTCAACTTGAATTAGGTGACACGTATTCGTGGTTATAACAAATTATGAAAATTTTTGGCATGACACTTTTTTAAAAGCATGAAAGAAAATGTAAAAAATTACAGCGAAACTCATGTCAAAATATCTCGGTATTAATTCATCATATTTACTCCATACCAGCTTTCACCGTTGAATATCTAGTGCTGTTACTAAAAAATTATTGAAAAATTGAACTAGTACGGTATTGTGGCCGGAATAAGTTATTAGCTGCGAAATTGTTTCAATCATAAGGTTTTTTCACTAAAAGCAACGTTAATGCATGTTTTCATACAATTTCAATCAATTTTCACACATTTTTTATTCTAGATAAAATGAAAGAATCATAATTTTCTATTGAGTTAGTTACTCGAGGAATGCATTGAAGGTGTCGGAGTCCCACATGTTCTCGTGAGGCAGACGGTGGTCCCGGAGACCGTTCCTGTACTTGCACTGTATGGCGTTGTTACTGAGATGCACAGCCTCGTCCGTGCGGCTCACGTCGTATTCTTGTGAACAGAAACGCACGTAGCTCGACCTAAGGATGAGGTGTATATTTGGAAATTTAAAGATGAGGTGGTATATATATCGTCAAAAAACTGATACTCATCATGCAATCCTAATTTTAAGATTGCTGGTACGAATATATTGCTAAGATTTCATCGAAAAAAAAACGCATTAATAATCACTTCATGGTATTAATTAACTTATCTTCCGGACATCTGACTGCGACAAGTAGGGGTGATACGATAGTGGAGATGAATGTGAACATTTATAGTGGTGGTATCCAGGTTATATGAAAAATTTCCATGCTTGAAAGGCATCACGAAAAGTGTTTGAGATTGTGTAAATTATATAAGAGGTATTATGCATAAACATTTACAGATTTTTATATGACAGTTATTATGTATATACCTGTACATCCAGATGGTGAGAGGGTTCCAATCTGTCACCATAAACCACTGTCTGATGTCGAACTTTGTGTTGTAAATAAGAAACGGACGCTCTGCGTAAAAGAAGAAAACGTGCTTTTAGATTCTCTTGCCCGTTGAAAGTCATGAATAAAATTGAGGGACAAGTCATCTTCCACAAGCTTCAGATATATTATTGAAAATTATAGGGCTGTGCTGATAAGCTAAGAAACACTATCACAGATAGATCTTAATGGCTCTTTAACGACATAAATTCTTTAATTTTGGTAACTTTTAACTATCTTCTATTTCAATCTAGAATCACCGCTACGCAAGCTGCAGATATCTTTCAAAATTATGTTAAACTTTCATTCCATTGAATGTAGCTTGCAGGTTTCTTTATATTAAATTCATTTTCACTCATTTTTTAAATTTTAGTAAATATGAGTAGAAAAGGTGCATATCCTTTTTAGTTGATTTTACAGTAATGATTGAAAACCTATCGAATTTGACTCAATCAACATAAAAATTATTTTTGGAGAATCATATCACGCAAATAAGTTTCTGCGTAGATGATGAGAACATGTTTTCCCTTACCCATGTATTTCTGGACGACGTATTTGGTCTCATAAATGAAGGGAGACTGGACGAGCGCGAGTATGTCGGCGAGACTGTGCATGAGCAGGATGCCTCGTCCTCGGGACTGCGCGCCAGGCTTCACGATCCACACGTTACGAATGCCGTCCTGCGCGAGCTGCGGCCAGTGAGGCTCTGCACGCTGCAGGGTCTCTTTGCTCTCCTGCACCAGCGCCTGCGGCAGCCGTGGATTCGTATAAAATTATGTATCTCAAGTGCATTCACAAACCAAGCAACACAAATAGCCTAATGTTACACCAATACAATTGTCATGATTGGCCGCTCTGGTATCTCTTAAGTATTCTCAAATGCATGTACAATTTTTCAAGCATTACTTTTTATTACATTACTTTTATTCCTATGTACAATGCTGCAACGTCCGAAAAACATTTTAACTAGTGTTATAATTCAATTGGAAAATTTATGCCATCTTTCCAGTCACTTAGCAGGTACAGTGACCCAGCAAAATGTTTACGCCTCAAAGGATTGGGATGTTTCGATGTCGAACCTGTCGTTCGCGTTAAGTTCGACTTAAGTTTTGAAATCCAGTTAACCTGATAGATGTTTCACGGCCTGAAAGTCGTCATTAGTTTTGCTATAGTCGTGTTTTTGTTATATACGTGCTAAGTCCTACCATGACTTCAATAATGTCCATATTTCAGCATACATACCGATTTGCCTGCGCTAGAAACTCGAAGACACGCGATCATAAATTATTGGAGTCCAAAAAATTTATTAATATCATTTGATTTTCCTTTTGCTTTATTACGTCAATACTGCGAGTTAATCTTAATAATCACACGCTAAAACAATAGAGGTCATGATACCTCACATCGTAGATTTCTTATTGTGTTTATGCTGCGCAGTTATCAGCATTAAAAGCATCATGAAATAATGCACGAGGAGGCAACTACTCTCCGTGATCGTCACAACGCGCACCTCAAGTTGCTGGGGATTGGCCTTTATTTTGCATCTGCGATGCACAGCGCGGTGGTGAGTGCTGATAATACCGTCCCATTCAGCATCCCCGAGCGGCGGCTTCACTGGGGTATCCAGGTTGTCGTGACTGCAAGACTCGACAAATTGATCCACCTGAAGTACTGCTTGGCGGACGCGCCTTGGTAACAACTGTAGGCAAATATCGACGGTTATGGGAATCATCTCAAACTCTGATTCGGTGTGATAGAGCAGTAGATAGCATGGCCATGTACAATGGGGGGAAATAAATATTCGTACACTTGAAAAATCGTATTTTAATGTATGTAAGTACACAAACTGAACAGGAGAAGTGATTTATATTATGTATAGAGGCGCATTGTATTCAAAAATAGCATCAATAGAAATTAAATCTCAATGCAACAAAAATTAATGCAACATGTTAACTNTTCCATCAATAGGATAAAACACAATATTCATAAAAACTTTACATTGTATGATGTCCAGCAGAGCACAGATTTTATTTTAACTTGCATTATATGTACATATTTATAAATCGTGGATATTTTCCTAATCACTGAAGCACATTGACTTTTAGGAACACATTCTTTAAAAGTTGTATACTGCTATTTGTTGAATGAATCCCGAATGTATAGCTATTTATCAGTACTTTACGAATGCAGAAGTTATCATTAAAGCTAAAATTAGCTCAATACTCGGATAGAAGCGAATGTTGATGCTATACATGTATTTATGACGTGCTCGTTAACGTCAGGGCGCTTAACAGTTTAAAACTTCCGCCGCTGAAGGTCATTCACTGCTTTTTAAATATTTTATAGATCATTGCTTATACTTCAACATTCAAAATAGTTCACCAGTACTGATGATGATTGAAGTGGCACTTGATTAATCAACCGCTTTGTACGTCCAAGTGTCGGTACCAACACCGCGTATAATGAAATTAATTAAATATAGTTCTTTGAAACTCAAGCAAATTGTGTTATTCTTGCGTAGTTCAAGAGGTGTTCAACAGACACCTCCAGAGAGAAAGCTCGTCAGTCATAACTCTGCTACTAAAGGACAGTGCGGACAAGGGCACAATTAAGTTGCAATGTCAATTTTTACGTCAACATCCCTAGTGTCATGTATAACTATGACTATTTTAAATCAAGGAAATCCATTGATTTTACATGCGAATTAGTCTACAGAGCAGCTCACTTTGGTCGTGAAGACGGTGTTCGGAAAGCGGTTCACGAGCTGATCTTTGGTAAGGTGTTTGTAGGAAATAGTGTCGCGAGTCCAAGTCCAGATCAGGTTAGGCTCGACGTTTTTGAGCAGTCTTCCAACTAAAGTTGTATCCACGTCGTTGACTTTGAATTCTAGATCGGGGTATGGATCAAACGGGTCATATCGGACTTCATTATCGTTGAAAAATTCTTGATCTTCTGCATGAACGAACTTCGGGGATTGTTCATCTTCCTCAAGCGATTCTAGTTTTTCATCCATCTCACTAGAATGTTCGGAGACCAATGCTTGGTGATCAGTTTCGTCCTCTGGGATCGTTGCTTCTGACTGTCGTTTAGTGCGTTTAGTTGCGTCGAAAACAGGAATAGTGTACGTGTAGAGTGGTGACTCGTTGGTACCGTTTATATATTTATTAAAGCCACACCGAATTTCGAGAGGGCACAATGTAGTCGGATTGAATTTGAACTTGGTTAATTTTACACTATTCTTTTTAGATTTGTCGCTCTCTAAACCCTCGCTCTCTTCTGGACAATCATCTGGAGATATATCTTCACGTTCGCTAGCATGAATTTCTTCGGCTGTTGTGTCGACGTCAGTCTGGCTCTCGCATGGAGCATCGTTCTCAGAATTCCTGTCAATTTGAGTAAACTCGGCTTCTTCAATGTTTCTTATTTGGATACTTCGCTTCTTACGCATATAGTTGCACGACTTACGATTTATTTCTACAAAATTAAGCGTACATCGCGAAGGCGCGATGGAGATTTTGGGAGTTTGATGAAGATCAGCACATACAGTGGATGACAAGGTGATGCTCTGGCTAATGAGGGTACTTGAGTTGCTGCTACACGACGCTTGAAAACAAACGCAGTTGGCCGGATGCGGGTTGATATAAGGCGCGCGATGCAACAGCTTCTCAACCCAACCACGCGATTTCAATGCCGCACGCACAGCCGGGAAATGACCGTAAATTGAAAACACTCGGCCTTCCTGCAAAAGATATAATAAATAGTGGATCATCGCCAGAAATTTAATCAACTAAGTCCTTATATATTAAACTCATATAAAAATTTGTTGATCATTACATAAAATTGAGCTTACCTTGATTGCTCTCTCCGTAAATTGTCTAGCACGCTTGAGTTGTTGAAGGGTCACTCGTTGAATGCGAGGTGATATCGATGCAGAGTGACGTCGGTTTCTCGAAGAGCTTCTGTATCTCATCTCATTGCCACTATTAATTACATCTAAGGACGAAGAATTCGCGACCAACGACGATTTTGACTCGCCATTGAGACTTGATGGAATTGTCAAGTTCAGCGTGTCCAACAGTGCGTCAGAGAGAGACGTCATCGCAACAAACGAGCGTTCGTCAACGCAGTTGGTGATTGCGTGACTGTCGACACCGGCAACACTCTCAGCTGTTCCACATGCAGTGCCGATACTTCCTGCTGAGCGAATTACTGGCAGCACCGCTGGTTGTGAGGCCAAGTCGTCACACTTTTTGCATGTTACCTGCATAAAATTGAGTCCTCTTGGAACTCTTGGGGATATTAATTGTGATGGGTCTACTTTGATCATGTTCGATTTACGCTTGTGTGAGCTTTCAAAGTTTAACTGTGTTAACGTGAAGTCTTCGGAGATTTTCTTAACGTGTTTTCTCACTGTTATGGATGAAGGAGTGATGAACTTTTCATTCGATTGCGTTCCGGTACAGAAATTAAATTTTGTTCTTCGCCCTCTTACCGAATCTTCAGACATTTGCTGGTAACCGTTATAGCAAAATCTGACTAATTTGTTTACGGATGACTCGTTTCTACCGTAGATTGAGATATCTCGAGGTTTATTGAGCCTCGAGGGCAACTCTAGATTACTATTTATTTCGACGTTCATGCGACTCATTTTTTTCGCATCAGCACTGGCTTGGGGGTAGAACGTTGCGCTCGTAAGTTCTTCTTATTTGATATCATTGCGTCATCTGATTCGTCTCAAATTATTGTCTCTCGTAAATATTTTTCAAATCCACATGCAAGTTATTTCCGCTTCTCGAGTTGGAAGACACATCCTCGCTGACGGCATGAAGCCCTTGACATCATCCAAGCAGGTGCTTGAAGCAGTAACACTTCTTGTCATCGGAAGGAGGCCCAACAGGCTGTGGAATGGACTTTGTTCGGAACAGGAAGCTCGCGTCTCAGGTCCGTGAGACGAGGTGAGGTCCTCGTAGCTCGTGAGGTTACCAGCACCGTAGCACGACTCCCGCGCATGGCCGTCGCTATCTGGCAGCCTCGTTAATAGCATATCTCCACTCCCGGTACAATTTGTACCTCAACTCCAGCATCAGATTAGCTATCCTTCTCTCATGATACATTTAAGAGTTACGTATTATTAAGATATCGATACATTTACGAACATACTAATCCAAAAAATCATAACTGTTATGAGTCTAAGCAAAATAGAAATTTTCTAGATGCTGGTTCAAGATTTCTATGACAGGGGGTGAGAAAATATTTTTTTTTAATTAAAATGATTACAATTTGAAAAGTGAATCTTGGTTGCTTTGGCATGTCATTGCTTGACACTTGTATAAACTCATGGCGAGAGCCCTTCGAGTGATACTCCTTTATTCACATGTTAGAGCCTCATGATAAGCTATTCTATAATGTATAGATATTTATATTCACAAGATCGTCGTGACGATGATCGTCGTTCGGCTTTAGCCATACTAAAGCGACACTAAAAATAACTCGAGTTACGCGCATACTTCAACACGACACAAATTCAAACGAAAAACGCACTACATTGTAACGTAATTTCTTTTTGGTTTGTACTTAGCCTAGAAAATTTTTTGATTAACGGGGAGTATTTCCAAAACAAAAAAAATCGTTCTAAAGGGTAATTTTTGAACCAAGCGACTTTTTTTCAGCTGCAGCTGAAATGGGACAATTTTCGGCCGCCGGTTTTTTGATATTGCGGGCATTCAAACTAAAAAAAAAATATGCAAAAGCCAATATCCCCAAATTGGTTAGGCCCGCTGTTGCTGCGCTCAAGCTCGTGATATGGGAACGCTCCATCTGATATCGTGCAGTCGATATCATATAACTATATAATTTTTCACGCAGCCTAAATCGATCAGCTGGTATCGTACTCCATCTGACATCATATCGTGCAGTCGATATCATTCAACTATATAAATGTCTCGCGCAGCTGGTATCATACTCCATCTGGAATCGTGCAGTCGATATCATATCATAATTCTTCGCGCAGCTCAAGTCGAGCAGCTGGTATCGATTGCCTTCGCTTCAGTGCAGCAAGCAGACATGGCGCATGCTTCCCCGCCCTCAATAGCTTGCCGTGCGAGAACAGCACTCCACATCACGGATGACTCAACGACTTCCATCGAGCTGGATCTGCTACTTTGCGCTTTCAAATTTTATTGACGGTACGCCAAATTCTATATATTCAAAAAATACATGTATGCAGAGAATGAAATAAGCTATGTAAAGAGAATGATCAGATCCTTTTGACTTGTTGGCCGTTTCTCGTTGATAGTCTACTGTATTGTTTAGATATTGAATAGGAATAGAATAATCCTAGCACAGCAGTGCGCACTACAACCAAGAATTTCACGTTGCTTTACTATGCATGAACTACAGTTATCTCATTTACATTCAGCGAAATAGGTTGACCTATATTCACTAAACGTAGTTCTGAAGATTAATGCAATCGGTTATTGTCATCATAATTTCTCTGAAACCCATTTGATCATGAACTATAATGTGGATTCAGGAATGCTATTGTGTGAAACTATTAGTCTCAATAGTCTGTTCTATTAATGATGAGGCGTCAACGTGTGTAATTTATTGAAGTGTAATAAATTAACTTTAAATTCTGAAGATAATTTATTTATTAAATAGTTAGGAAATTATTAGAAAGCTTACTCATTAATGTTCACTCAAAGCTAATTAATCATACTAATGAATATTACTGAAAATCGGCTCATTGAACCTCGTAGACTTAATAGTCAAGGAGTGGTTGCAACTACGGCTTTACTACGCGACAGTGTTGCAGCGATGCTGGTATAGTCGGGGCGGTCTACTCGGTCTAGCAGTGAACACTAACCTAACCAAGGCGTGGTTGGAAGTTCTGAACTACAAGACAGAAGGTGCAGGCGGGCAGCGAAGTTTGTTTGGTCAGCGTGGTCGCAGCTAACACTACCAAAGCGTGGTTGAGTTGCAACTACGAATTACGAAACAGCTGTTTTCAATGAGCAGTTTTGAGGCATGGATATCATTGGCTACTTAAAGACGCTAAAAAAGCATTCTCTACTGCTGAGATGGGAAGGAGAATTGATGTTCGAATTCAGAAGTGGTTAGCGTATGGATTGGATCTACGTTATGACCCGTGAAGGAAATGAAATGCATCATTGTGTCTATAAACTATCTAAATCAGTCTCGTAAGGTCACATAGGCCTATCCACTCTACGAAACAAGTTCTGAACAAAACTACTAATTATAATATTAGGTTTATTAGAGCGGGCAAAATAAGGTGCTATAAATAAAACCTGACCCGCGAAACACTGTCGTTGTTAGAACTTAGATCTTTACAATTCTAATAATTTTTACGCATTTTTAAGGTAGGTCACCGACTCACCGTGAATAGAAGACACAAGTGACAAAAAAATAGGCTACGGCTGAGAAAATTAGGTACCAATCGATTATATTATAATAGTCAAATCCGAGCCCACGACATGCAGTGATCCAGAAATTTGTGTATAGAACAGAAATTTTATTCTTCCTGTCCCATGAAAAGTCCGATTATTCCTTAACTTATTTCTGTAATCAGTATGAACACAAATTTCCCTTCATTGAAACAAATTTTCATGTTAATTTCTATAGATACGTTATATCTATAATTTAAATAGATATATAATGTCAGCATTGTTTGCGAATCGCATAACTATGATAATCCTATTAACTGAAAGTTTCCATTTTAAGAAACAGTACGCGTTTCTCTAACTACTGAGGAATGTTCGTCAAACTTGTTAGTTACCTATAACTTGACAGCGACCACTGTCACTTTGGATGTAACGATAAGGTTCAATCTCAAATTAAAAAGCTATTCATCACCAAAAAAAACTTTATTTGCTTGCTAACTAGAATACATTTTGCTACTAGAACAAATTGTAGGCCTAACTTATGATCGGGAGCATAATACGTATTGCTACTCCGCACAGCGAAGCAAGTTGGTAGTAACCACGCGATTTGCTTCAGTCTTGAGCACGGAACACCACATCCTCACCACACACAACGACGCTCGGCACTGAGCTTTAAAGAGGGCGTTTCGGTACGCAGACTTATTCTAGTCTCGCCTCGTATCGAGCGTTTCACATCCATGGAACAGAAATTGAACAAAGCGTAGATCAATGCTAGATGTTGTCTAACTGATTTACCGAATTTTTAAACCGACTTTGAGCTTGAATAACTTTGAAAAATGAAGAACGTTTATACTATAGTGTATCGTATTCAGAATGAATAAACCACCTAATGCAGAGGAGTGGTGTTATCTGATATTTCCCCAAGCATTAATGTATGAAATTAATATTTGGCTAAATTTGCTGGATCTAGCCAACAAATGGCTAGAGATCCACAATTAAGGTTTCAGAACTTAGAGGTAGAATATATCGAAAATTTTTTTCTTACGAAAAAGGAATTGCGATTTCATGTCATTTGCCAGCCAGTTATCCATTTTATGATGTATGATAATGCAAATTTTCATATGCTACGCTTTGCATTATCATTATGAGCAAGAATAAAGGAGTTACTAATTTCTTTACAAATTCATGCAGGAACATTTTCTAAAACGCTTTGCTTGCCCAATTTTATAAGTGAAAGATGGAAGTTGAGAAAGAAGCTTAGACCGAAAAGCTTAAAAAAAATTCCGCCACGAAATTATAGCCTCTAAAGTGCCAGAACCTTCGTAATGGTGTCGGTCGCTGTTGTCGATCATGACAGTTCTGGACAAGTTTCCCCGCAATGTCTGGACGTTGCAGCTCACACTGCTGAGTTTTCTCTTGATTGCTCTTAAGCCCGGTCCACTCGCTCAGTTTTACACAACGATTTGTCTGCGCAGTTCTAATCGTTGCAGACAAAACGTTGCGTGTGGACGGTTAATATATATTTGATATTATTTCACTCTACGAGGGGAGTGTAATAATATCGGTCGGGTTATTCAACAATTGTAAATAGACGAACTGTAACGTTTGCAAGCGTTCTGTTTTATTTCCAGTTTAGTTTGTCGAATGAGAGACGTCGAGTTAATCACACACCGAGTCAATCCGCCTCTGCGACGATGGTATTTGGTTGTGGTATTTCTTTGAGTATGAAGAGATCACAAAATAGGGATAATTGGTCAGCGAACTAAAATATTTATATTCTGACATAAGTTACAGCGAGACTAATGTGTTGGCTCGACGAGATTTGGCCTTACCAGCGTCTCGTGAAAACGTAATCACAAACTTGTCTCGAGTTTAGAGTCACGTTCAAGGGCAGGCGAAGTCTTCTCTGAGCGCACCGGCCAAACTGGGAGTAAATTTTTGTCGGCAGCAAACCATGGGGTCTGGCAGCACCGTTCGGTGGCAAGGAATCCGGGGGAGGGGGTTCGAAAACTTGCGTCAAATATCGATGAAAATAATTTTATCACAAGTCAATTAGTGATTGATTGAACATTTTAAAAAGGCTATTTTCAGGACCATGATTTGTTTTCTAAAAAATCAATGAATTTCTCACAATCATTGAACTCTCTCGCAACTACTTGGAACATTAAGCGCCATAAATGATAAATCACGAAGCTTTCCTAGAGAATCAAGATATTGCAAAATGTAACCGTCTCTTAATTTGAAGTGATAAAAAAATATTTATTATCTCATTTCATATATTTACAGAAATATTGTAATACGGCCTAAATATACAATTATTTATAAAATATTTCGTTGAAACGCACATCACGAAGGGAACACAGAATAATATAACTTATAGGAATTCTCTGATATATATAAGAGGTATTCGACAATTTACAGGAGCCACATATTATGAGTCAAGTGATGGAGATTATTTAATTTTAAGATTAAGATGATAGAGAATAAATTAAATTCGGAAAATAATTTAAAGTTTCTCGCTTTGGAAGTAGTTTCTCGCAATTTTTTTATATACATAATTAATCACATAGCTCGAGAAGAAATAATCACAAAGGAGCTCGAGAAAGAGACGGAAATTCGATCAATTGTTGAAATTAAGCGTAAAAAAATCGGCAATTTTTAACACGCATATGCAAATTTAATGTGATCGACGATCGTGGTAGGTAATGAGACCAGTGAGAATTATAAACACCTCATTACGGAAAAATTGTGCTCATTCATTAATATCGCCTTGAATATCAACACGATGTTCATTTTCACGCGGCAAATCATCCATTGCCGTAATCCGATAAGCTGGCTATCTTACTGAATGCAGCGTAGTTGAGAATTCAGCTAAAAGAAACTTGTCAAAAATTAAACGCTGCCTGACGCATCCGAATGAAATCGGATCAGTATCTGAATGGTCTATAACAAAGACAAATAAAAACATATAGTAATACCCCTACACGATTAGAAGGCGTCTCTATTCTCGAAGCAGAGAGCGACTGCTAGCGAGATTCTTACGAATTTGTATAAACCACGGCAAAGGGTGAGCACATTTTGATTTCCTTGTAAGTCCTCTATTTAAATAAATTAATACAAATGCCCAAAATGACTTTGTTACAGCACAGCCCGATTAAAATTACTAAGTAGTGTAAACACTTTACAACAACGAACGAAGTGCTCGAGTCATTCGGCGTTTTTGTTTAACTGCCCAAAAAGCCTAAGATAAAACTCGAAGGTAAATGGGACGGTCGCTTTGTTTTTTTTTAGTATCGTAATTCAAGGTATAACCAGGCTTATTTAAATATGAATAGACACTTGGGATCACCGACTTCGGTGATTTCTCTCTTCCTGGGCGTCGTCGGAAAGTTCTGGGAGGGCGAAGTCGCACACCAGCGAAAAATGGTCAGATGGATAGGCTAAAGACGGAGCCCTTCCTGGACCAAGTGCTTCCTCGCTGGGATGGTCCAGAGAACCCAAAACCTGTTCAAGTTTGAAAGCTTTAATTTATTCTTTGATTGAAATACGCTCAATTAAATCGAAAATAGGCTTAAATAAGCTCAATACATAAAAATATAGGCTCAAATAAGCTCAATACAAATCAATTGTGAGGGCAATATTGTACTTGTGAGGCCACAAGGAATTGGCAACGGTGGGATGACTCATCAGGCGATCGAGTCATCGTCAATATTCTTCAAACTACGGCAACTTGTTCCGATGGATACATACTTGAAGTACACTGGAGCCTTCGCTGGTATAGAGGACGTAGTCAATGTTGTGCTTAGACTCCCCATTGCCGCGAATCTTCCAAGTAGAATAAGGAGGTTCTTCGCCATTGTTTACGGTTGCGTACGCCGAGGACAGAGCAAGGGAAGGGGCCTGCGTGAGGGTGGCGTACACGGGCTCGCTGGGCTCGGCGTTAAGGTCCCCGCAGAGGACCGCTGGCCGCCCCCCACGGTGCTGCTCTAGGAACTCTAGAAGATCTTTTCCTGTGTTCATTAGAAACGTAACATCGTTATAATGATCGGTATGATGTACATAGTATCAAACTTCTAAAGCGCCAGTGTTATTTGGAATTAAATTTAAAATAATTGGTCAGGTTGTTTGCAACTCCTGCAAATTATATTTGTTTAACCAAACTTTTGAGATATTTGATTGAGAATTAATCAATTTTGGATGGAAGATGCGAACAAATTTACTAATAAGTGAAATATGAAATTATTTCGCAAAACAGCTCCTAATAAGAACTTGAAATTAAAGTTTCGAACCTTGCTCGTTTCGGAGGCTAGCGAGGAGAGCGCCTTGCTTGGCTTTAAGGTGCGTCGTGAGGACCGTGAACTCCCGCTGGCTTTGACGTTCCCGCAGCGTTACGAGTAGCGCCACCTGTGCGACAAAATCAGTAACTAAATCATGAAGTTTTTTGCCAACTAAGCCTAATCATTATCCTTATTGGTGTCGACAATAAAAGAGCTAAATCCAGTCATTAGATGACGTTGAAATGAATCTGCAACATCAATATTCAAGCAATTATTTAAAAAATTGTTGTTAGTCTGATTCAGTCGAACAGGTCGAATTTGGGGGGATGGAATCATGTCGGAAGCAAATAAGTTTACATGAAGCATAGCAGAATGTCAAAAATAATTCGCACCAATAAGGTAGTCCGGTAAAATTTCGAATATTTTTAAATTGGACTTGGATTAAGAATTAAGCATGAGCATAATGTGATGACATTCGCTGCATCTCTTGCTCGTACTTTCGCTGTTTTTGATCATATGCAATGAGACTTTACATTGGAGACAGTGTAATCCCGATGTAACTCATTTTGATTTAAATCTCCAATTACAATAAAGAATGAGAACTCACTTGGTTGCTCTGGACGCGCCAAACTTCTAGGATTCTGGAGTGCTGCTCAATCAATTTAAATTTCGCGGTACGATAGAACAAGGCACAGCCGTCAGGCCCGCTGTTCTCTGGGACGTAAATGCATGGCGAGTCTGGCTTGGGGACGAAAAAGCCCTCATAGCCTTGGGATCCTAAAACGCGCTCCAAAAGTGAAAAGTGATCCACCTCCTGTAAACAGAAATGTAATTCACGCTTTTATTCGAGTTAAAATATAGGGTGAAAAATGGTCGCCATGGATGAATCCTTTCGTTTATTATAAACGCACTGTTTAAGTTTGAGCTTCGAATGAAAATTATTTCGTAAAATGATTTTCCAATTGAGTCTAGTTAGCTGTGAGAAGGAGAACTGCAGTTATAAAATGGAGATATAAAAGTTAATTGGTAGAACTGTTGAATAATATTAACAAGGGAATGACCTGGAGGCAGACAATGTCAGGCTGTACTACTGACCTGGGGCAGTATTATCAAAAGTTCGTAAGAACGCAAAATCGACTTACGAGAGGCGTAAGTGCTGACTTGATGACGTAACTCTAGAGGTGGTATTATCAAAACATTGGCGCGGGAACCTACGTAACGTAACTGTACGCCTGCTCGGAGATGTAAGTGGAGTTCCACACAAGTTTAGAGTGTCTGCTGAAGCAATAGGAAACTATTGATTTACTAGCAAGTAGCAACACCGTGATTTGTGATAGAATTTTGTCAATAATCAGACAGCGCGGATTATACACGCATAGAATGATGGCTCTAATTGTGATGGCTCCATTACTTGATCGTGCAACATTTGCACGATCAAAATATGTGATCGTGCTAAGCAGTGTTATTGGAAAAAAATTCAATTCATTTTTTCAAAATTTTTTTCATTCATTCATTCCTTCTAGTCGGTACTTTATATCTTTGCCAACCATAATTTTTAGCTCCGTACACAGATTTCTTCTTCAACTCACGCTGTTAACTAAAAAGAGTTCACAACTATTTTAGAACGGCTTTTTTGGGCCAACAAGGAGCAATACCGACAGACAGCATTAGATAGTCGATACCATCAAAGGCATCGATTCCCGCCATCGAAGTTCACAGAATGTAAACAAATCCAAAGCCTCTGATTGGTCAGTTGGCCATATGGTTTTGATAGTACGCTTTTAGCTATGTCTTACGTACGAATGTCTTGATAGTGCCAAAATTAGGGTATACTTACGTAACACGTAACTTTTTTGTCGGAAGTACAAAAAGTTACGAAGTTTTGATAATGCGGCCCCTGGAGGCAGACAGTGTCAGGCCATACCACTGACCTGGAGGCAGACAGTGTCAGGCCGTACCACTGACCTGGAGGCAGACAGTGTCAGGCCGTACCACTGACCTGGAGGCAGACANTGTCAGGCCGTGTCACTGACCTGGAGGCAGACAATATCAGGCCGTGTTACTGACCTGGAGGCAGACAATATCAGGCCGTGTCACGGACATGGAGGCAGACAATGTCAGGCCGTGTTACTGACCTGAAGGCAGACTATATCAGGCCGTGTCACGGACATGGAGGCAGACAATGTCAGGCCCTGTCACTGACCTGGAGGCAGACAATATCAGGCCGTGTTACTGACCTGGAGGCAGACAATGTCAGGCCGTGTCACTGACCTGGAGGCAGACAATATCAGGCCGTGTTACTGACCTGGAGGCAGACAATGTCTGGCTGTACCACTGACCTGGAGGCAGACAATGTCTGGCTGATGTACCAAGATCTCCTCAAGTATCCTGAAGCGCCGCGTGTCCCAACATAGAGCTTCTTTCGGGCACATCACGAAGTTGTCGGCGTGGGCTCCTAGAGCTGCAACAGAAGAACATATTAGCTCCAAATAAATTCAAACAAACGACTTTGGATTATTAGCCCAATGTTAAATTACACTTAATATGTGCATGCTAAACTTTCAAGTGTTATTCATATTTGTTAGATCCTCATTGAACATTTTAGTTGTTTTTGTCTCTGTAAATACTGTATATAATACAAATATTTACGAGTTTTCAATGGAGAAAAAAATGGTCATCTAATTGTACTGTTGGTGGCAAGTGATCTAGAAAGAAATTGCCGTTTCCCCTAATGAAATCTTGAAATTTGTACGGTCAAACAAAATATTTAATCGGACCCAAGATTCAACATGAACAAAGTGATATGAATTTCATTCCTATATGAAGCATGTCCACAATTAGGGCTTGGATCATGGAAGCTGACGAAAACATTTAATGGCGCGTGTGCGTAAAGTTTTTCTGATTTGGCAACAATTTAGCCTCATACAATAAGTTTCAAATAGGCAATACGATGACTCACCCTGCGCTAGAACATTCCATTGCATGAGCCTAAAAGTCGCTGCTGGAGGCGCCGTTGAGGTGTGAAGACTAGAGAGGCTCGGGCCAGGGGTGTGTCTGTAGTGTCGTTGGAGCTGGGGAGGGAGCTTGACTAGATGACCCCTGACCCACTCTAGGATCTCGTCGTGACTTGCTCCTACAGGAGGCTGCACGCTGTCGTCCTGCCCCGCACTGCTTGCTACTTGCGGCTTGGACGTGAAGCTGCCCATCCTGTGAGAGAACCAACAAACTTCTGAGCGTCGCTGACGAGCCACAAAAAACATGATCTCGAATAACGCATTAATGAGAACATTATGATGTTATAACAACGAATTGTGTACGTTGTCGAGCACCGATAGAACTTTTAGACACCCGGGACATTATTTGTGTTTGCGGAACAAATTACATGAAGATACGGCTGCAACGAGGAGCTCGAATGAACTCGTGAACCATTGTTTACGCAACTTTGGTTTAATTTATGAAAGTGAAATCGTAATTTGTTCTTAAGAAGACAATTTATAGGTTGTACTATCCAATAATAAATTATCAAACTATGTTAAGTTGGTATGCAATGCAAGGGGCCCAAATCAGTATCATGGATGATAGTACTTCAAACTAACAAAATCAACAGGCCTTGTAAACATGGAAATTGCTCCGTCTGGAACAGCCATGCAGGCATTTGATGATTAAATTGAAAACATAAATCATCGAATTCAATGATTTGTATAAAATATAACAAATGAATAGGTAAGCCAAGGGCACATTTCTGGACATTCAAGCATGTGATGATGAAAAATTGAAAACATAAATCATCGAATTCAATGATTTGTATAAAATAAAACAAATAAATAGGTATGCCAAGCAGCCAAGGGCACAATTGATTAAAAAAATCAGCATGTTAGATTTAAATATCTAAAATGCTCGCAAAAATGTGTGTTTTATTGTAAGATCAGTAGATCACTCAATCGGTCATTCGCACATCGGATTCGCAAACTTTGGCACGTGACCGCAATATTTGCCCTCGAACGATGACGCGTTAGCAAGTTGACTTCATCAGTTTATGCAGGTCTCGTTGCCTCCGATTGTCCGGCTCGCAGACAGCAACAAACTTGAGCGAAAACTGGAATTCATGCGAATTAAGATTTCGCCACCGCGTGTCAATTTCCCTAGCAACGCTTGGCAACGACCTTTGCATGTTACGTCATTCATAAGATAACGAATTAGCAACTCTCTAGAAGTCTAGATGAATAAAAAACATTAATAAGAAATTAAGAATGTCGACACACTGACACTCGCGGCGTGCTTGTGTTGGCTTGATCCGACATAGCAGACGATTGCGACGGTTTTCTACGCATCAAAGGGGTTCTTTGCCAACTGAAAGGAGTCAAATTGCATTGTTTTCATAACTTAAAAGCAAATGTACATTTTAAGAATAATTCAAAGCAGTGAACAAGATGATACCTGAAAGCTGCTGCTGGTAATAACAGAGCAGAGCGCATATTGTAGCAGCATCACCACTAACCTCACTGGCACGTCATGCCACACTGCAGCCCGACTGTGCCCGTTACCGTAAGTCGTTACCTGAACGAAGTCTACAGATAATGTCAGACTCAGCCCTGCCACCCCGCCCCCCAAACGTTTGTACTCCCTCGCCCCTCTCAGCTGATGACGCTAGTAAACACTCGTCATATCCGTGGGCTCAAATTGAACTAAATTTGAGTCTTCGGGGATAAATATTATCGGGGCTTCGATTGAAGTCCAGTCGTGGTGAAAGAATCCTACGGTTAGGGCTACAATCATTTTATCATACTGATAATAATCACGATTGAATAATACTGATAATAATCATCTCTCGCAAGATTGGTTATCGATATTGCGAGAGGAGGAAAACTTGAATAATAACGATTTGCTTCTTTCCAACATCTATAAATATACACTGTGGAATATTCTAAGGAATTGTTTTGACAAAATTTGTCCTTGGCAAGTCCTTAATAAACTTCATCAAAATCTATAGTAACAATTTCCCTTTCCATGTTAACTTTTTTCTTTTCTCAACGTACGTATAACCTTGTACGGTTCAGAGGAAACAGGACGAGGGGTAAATGTTTGTGTTATGGTCCATGATTTCCTTGAATGAATACCTGCAGTCAAGTCACGTCCTTCAGGCCATGATTTCACTCGGCGTAAATTTAACACACTTGCGGCTTGCCACTGGCAGAAGACGCTTCCGAGATGCTTCCGCTCGCCTAGACGTCGGGAGCAAAGCGGTGATGTTCCGCTTTCGATCCTCATGATTTTAAATCCGTCGGACGTTCCCACATCCGCGAAATCAAACACTTAGAGAAATGAGTGCCTTTGTCTAAATAGCGATGCACGTTATGTCCTTGCGTGGGTCATTCTTACCCAGTTTGGCCCGGCTAAAGGGCGTATCAGTGCTACCTAAGCTGTGCGTTTGAGGTCTGGTAAGGAAGCGTGCCAATTTACGACAATGTTATTCTTTAATTCTTCAGTGTATGCCACGACCTCAACAGCAAATATGTTATCAATTACCACGCGTTATATTAATATCATTCGCCTTTGCACAAAGCCCAAGGTCCGGAAATATTTATTACAATTTTAATGTAGATGCCGGAAATGTTAATTGTGAGTTTGAATTTCCTGAACACACAAGGTTCAGCTTATGTTGTACTTGGAAAACAATATGATGCTGGCTTGATTCATGCGATGAAAGAGTTGAGTTCATTTTAAAGTAGTTTGAGGAAATTCAATCTTGATCTTCGTTAGAATTTGAATAATTAGTCTAAACAAATCTCCAGAACCCAAGGAAGTACGGACATTGTATAGTGCCGGAAAGAGTAACCCATTTAAGCGTCTTCAAAACAAACTCTCCTGATGAATTTCTCCATGGAATTATTGTCCTTTACCTCTTCTTTATCGACAGCGCCGTGCAGTTACTGTAACAATAATAATTAAGGGTAAGGCCCGGGAGAAGGAGGATCCGATTACCTTTAATGCTGCATCTAAAAACACTAGCTCCATTGGAAAGAGCAGAATTCCAGCTTTCAGATGAGCACAAAAACCGAAAAACGCCAAAATTGAAAATTTTAGGGTAGCCGGTCCCCTTAAAGTAGTTTGATGAAATTCAATCTTGATCTTCGTTAGAATTTGAATAATTAGTCTAAACAAATCTCCAGAACTCAAGGAAGTACGGACATTGTACAGTGAAGGAAAGAGTTTATACCATTTAAACGTCCTCAAAACAAACTCTCCTGATGAATTTCTTCGTGGAATTATTTTCCTTCTTTATCTTTTTTTTCTTTATCCTTTTTATCTTCTTGTCCCTTTTGATATGGACTGCCTCTTCTTTATCTACAGCGCAGTGCAGTTACAGTAACAATAATAATTAAGGTTCTGGGAGAAGGATAATCCGATTACCTTTAATGCTGCATCTAAAAACACTAGCGTTTTACATTTTTCAGTGACTATACGTGTTTCAAGCGTTATGCGAGCGGCCGAAGGCCGAGGCGCTAAAGTACTGTTAGACATTCACGGATACTTCGACAGCGGAGCGTCAGCGCTGCGACCTTCGCGGCGTAATCGAAATTTACAGTTGGAACGGATGCTGGTGGCGGCATTTAAAGCGGAACATATCATAAGAGACACTAACTACCTAAACAGAATGAATAGCCCCTTGTGAAATTTCAAAAGCATTTGAATAGGCCTCTTAAAAACTGAAAAGCATCATACATTAAGAAATTTTGACTTGATTGCGTACTCGTGTATTTTGATTGTTATTGTTAGATTCCATCAGTTAGTGCGCAGGTGGCTCTAAATTTGTCAGATCCCGTGATTTTATTCATATCACCATCACTATTATACTTAGAATAATAGTATTTTAGTTGCGGAGGTGTGCTCCACCCATAAAAGTTACACTGCGTTATGGGGCTTTAAAACACTTTCTGATAATTCTGTCAACAACCTCCACAAAAATGCGCGATGCCCGGGAGATGAATTGTGCATTTTGACCGAGTCGAACTTTACTGAAAAATTAGAATGTCTCCGGACGTACTTGTAATGAACAGCCATATATTATGTTAAATTAATGCTTCTGAATTTAATCCGACATGAATCGTGATGCAAATGATTCTTCCGTTCTCATAAGAGGTGACGCACTGTAGTTATAAGAAAAAAGCAATTGCCACTTTTATATAGTATCAAGCCCGGAGTAAAATTTATTACCAATTTGCATGCCAAAAGAATCTCAGCTGACATTGATTTTCATTGATTATAATGTTCTACCTGATTTATAGGGCGAGAAATATCTATCCATTATAATTTAATTATTGGTTGGAGAAGTACGCATAAAGGCATATGATTTCGATGCGCAGTTTCAACAGATGTGCGCTGATTACTTAACACTTCAGTTTTTCCTAACGCCCATCTAGGGAAGTTCGGATCGGATAGGCTTAGCCCAGAGAAGTATAGGCTTAACATGAGGCGAATAAACGGGTAGCAGAATTTTATGCTCATATTATCTGTTAAAGCTCGAGCTTAATTGTCCAACTAAATGAGTAAAGAAAGACAATGTGAGAAATTCTCGATGATTCCTAAATGGTCTGCACAATTAAAGGTTCTATACATATAATAGAGACATTGTATAAATAAAAAAAAATCATTTAAAGATTGTTTCAAGCTTGGATGGTGTTTAGAAAGCTTGATAAGCTTCTTAGAAATGGTCAATCAGGCGATACCCTCTGGAATGTAACCAGAATATTGTACTAACCTGACTAGATAGAGTAACAGTTGCTTGGGTGGAACGTAAGGTGTCGGTGCCTTCGCGTCGTCACGTGACTCGATCGTCTGCTGAAGGAAGGATTTCTTTCCTCGCCTGCTGCAGGATACTACAGGTGCGAGTGACAGCTGCGCAAGTTGCTCTGCCACCTTCAGGCATTCCATCAACTCCTCCACGCTCTTCTTGTGCATTTGAGACATCGTTGAGCCTGAGACTTCTACTCGTCGCAATAGACAAAAACTCGCTCGTCTTCTGAGCTTCCACAAACTCGAGTTATAACGTTACTTTATAAACGAGCCCTCTTTACAGTGTATGAAAGAAACTTTACAAAGATTACGGGACTAAAGTCTGGTCTGAAGATTAACGTTTTAGAAATACTGGGATTTTTATTTCACGGTTCACTTCATCCAAAGACAGTTATTGAGTCAATAGTTGAAACACAAATATCACCGATTCCACACGAAGTTTACAAATATTTTAGGGAAGAGGTATTAGAGTTTCCTCGTTTGTACCGTTGCGTTTCACTAAGTTGCGTTTTTGGCTTCTGTTGTCTTGACGTCCTCTCGGCTGACGGTATGATTTTCTTATGGATTGCGATGCAAATTCTTGAGCTCTTTATAAAACAGTAGACGCGCTAGTCACCATTTCCGTTCGCATGCTGGTCTGAACTTTTGTTACGTCACGTTCGGCAGTCCTAATTTCGAGTTGGGAAGATGAACTCGATCTGACTGTTATCGGAAATCTGTTGGTTCTAGAGAGGTCTTTCGGTTGGGATTTTGAGGTTGTTTTGGTTTTCCCGGACTATTGGAATAGTCACATTTCCGAGCAGATGCTTGAAAAGTTAAAATTCTGATGATCGTGCCCTTCACTCAGAGGCTTTATTCATTACGTAATTAAATCGTTTTGCTATACTTATGTGTTTTCCCATAGGTCAAACGCAAAAATATTAATATGTTCAGGAGATAAATCTTTCCATTAAGAACACTTATAATAATTTCGCATGATGGCATTCAATTTTCCGAGTAACTGTTATATATTATAGGTTCACGGCTGTGGACGAAGTTCTATAACGTTCGACACGGAGTTGAGGGACTCGAGGAAGACTCTCAGAGATGGAAGAGCGTCACGACGACGCTGGCACCGACACTCGCTCTATGGCTGGTCAGCTTCCGAGCTTCTCTTCCTTATATTGCACGAGGAAGCGAACATCGTTGAGGTGCCGGGCCCCCCTCCCCACCCGCCCTCTTGAAAAATCTTGCGCACCAACTCGGCGCGCGGACCGTCTACGCATCTCAGAATATGAGACTGTCCTATGAATATTCATAAGTGTACAGATCTTTGTACGTAATGTAACTCATGCGAACCATGTAATGTGATACATTTGGCGAAAATGATCCGTATTTCGATATCAAACAGCACCATAATTTTCACCAGGAAATTTCCCGGAACAATTTGCCCCCCAAGCGTATCGATTTTTGCATATGCGCCGATGTGAGGGGTGCAACTGCATGCAGTCGTTCGTTTGTACATCGGCATTGATAACATTAGCGAATCCGTAGTTTGGTTTTAGGTAAACGGTATATCCTAATTATTCTATAAACTATAAATTTCAGCATTTTTATTTCATAATTGAATATATTGCATTAACACTTATAATAATTTCGCATGATGGCATTCAATTTTCCGAGTAACTGTTATATATTATAGGTTCACGGCTGTGGACGAAGTTCTATAACGTTCGACACGGAGTTGAGGGACTCGAGGAAGACTCTCAGAGATGGAAGAGCGTCACGACGACGCTGGCACCGACACTCGCTCTATGGCTGGTCAGCTTCCGAGCTTCTCTTCCTTATATTGCACGAGGAAGCGAACATCGTTGAGGTGCCGGGCCCCCCTCCCCACCCGCCCTCTTGAAAAATCTTGCGCACCAACTCGGCGCGCGGACCGTCTACGCATCTCAGAATATGAGACTGTCCTATGAATATTCATAAGTGTACAGATCTTTGTACGTAATGTAACTCATGCGAACCATGTAATGTGATACATTTGGCGAAAATGATCCGTATTTCGATATCAAACAGCACCATAATTTTCACCAGGAAATTTCCCGGAACAATTTGCCCCCCAAGCGTATCGATTTTTGCATATGCGCCGATGTGAGGAGTGCAACTGCATGCAGTCGTTCGTTTGTACATCGGCATTGATAACATTAGCGAATCCGTAGTTTGGTTTTAGGTAAACGGTATATCCTAATTATTCTATAAACTATAAATTTCAGCATTTTTATTTCATAATTGAATATATTGCATTTCATAAACTATAACCATATATGTATTTCATATTCAAGAACCTATAAATTTAAGAAGCTATGAAAATGTTCATTAAAAGCGGCTCGTGGAATACTGAGTAGAAGTTTTATTTCACCATAGCATATCCATATTAAATACTAACAAAATGAGAGTAGTATTAAAAATAATGACTAGTCCGGATGTATTAATTTTATCCCTCTTGTCGCTGTAATCAGCAGGTGGAGATAAAATATTCAAATTCTATGATCATCTTTTCTTAAGCGACGACGACTTTTCATTTCATGATAAGGGTTGTTGTTTGATACCATCATTTTCCGGGTATCCACATTTATAAAATAAATATAATAATTGAAGGTAAAATAACCTGCAGAAAACATCGCAAAGAAGTATCTATCTTACTTTCTAAAATTCCAGTGGATGTGAACGGAACCTAGCCGTCTATGGAATAGTAAAAATGTAGCTAATTTGACCTTTATATGAGTAAAATCAGAATTTTGTAACTAAACAAACTGACGAATTTTAATTTTACAATTTTACTGATGTTTTGTTTGTAATTTTCCTGCTGCTTTTAACCAGATATAACATCAAAATTTTAGTCCTGGGTTTCTTTAGTCAAGAATTTGAATGTTAAAATTTATTTTCTTTTAATATAATGCATGTTAATGTTAATTTTAAGCTGAAGCAAGAATCTAAATATATGGCTTATGATTAAAATATAAGTTGGAGAGAGGTGGGAAATATACAAAATAGCGCCAGAAAACTAAGAAAATGAAAAAATTAACTTGTAACAAATTTATAAAAATGTCTTCATTTCAATTTCAAATCAGCAAAACGGCACAGAAATTGTTGTTGAACAGAATAATACGAGTAGTAATGTTAGCTTCACAAATGAAGTCTGAAATAAATACTTGCGTTTTCCTCGTGGTTCAAGTAGAGTGGATCGATAAAATTCAATAACTCACTGGTGAACAGAAAAGATTTAATACAGTCTTTTGGATAAAAAATGAAAACGGTTCGAAATATCTGGGAAAGTTTTATATCACTGTTTTTAATTTATTCTGTCATTTCTTTTTCTTGTTTTGTTTTCTCATTTTCACCAGATATTTTTTGTTGTGAATATTAGTTTTTTATATCTTAGCATATCGTTATTCGACGCAATTGCATGGTCGCGGAATAGCGTTATTTGGAATGTTTTCAGAGTTTCAAAGTTTATATGTATATCAGAATACACCAATACACAAAGTGCAAACTCATAAATAGGTATTTTCTGTGCTTATGCAGTCAAAAATATTGAGTAGTGTAACAACAACCTGCTAGTTATGAACAACGATCGTTTAAGCCTAAATAAAAAAGGGTATTTAACAATAATTATAAAATAAATAGAAATTAATAACAGAATAAATGAATGAATTGGGCCAATGTTAAAGTTTAAGTAAATTTTTGACCTGTTGTCGATTCTAGAAAAAAGCAGATCTTTTACAGCCAGCCGGGTTTCAAACCCGCAACTAACTGCTCAAATCTTACTGTACCCAACTACTCATCCATCTCACACTTTTCCGACCAGAATTTCCACACCTTTCCGACCAGGCTAGAATCGGAAGTTCACTACTGCAATATGGGTTATTTGGAGCTCTGTCAGCCCGCTGATATGGTGTCGTTTGTAGCACAGGAAGAGGGCTAAATATTCATATGCTATATAGTACGGTGTTGCAAATTGTGTCGAAAAAATAATTCATTTGAAAAATATAACCACTTCACAGTCTATATTGTATATGTTGAGAGACGCATCATTGTCGAAATCCGAAAACTAACGCAGCATTTGGTAGCATATGTTGTAATACGTACTTAGTTACCACAAGTGAATTAGTCATATATTGTTTTTTCTTATATCTCATATTATGCACATTTGGGCATAAATGCTTTAGCACATCCCAAACGTGACGCTGCTATTCTTCAAATCCGCGATATTTATGATTTGTAAAAAAAAAACAAGGAAGATGAAAAGAGCACTGTGTAAAAATTTTTAAAAACTTTCAGACCCATTAGACCATGGTTGAACTAGTATAAGGTTTACCCATGAGATACTCATTTTTGCGGTTGAAGCTTGTTGTTTGTCAGTGACGTCACTGATCTTAGTGACGTCACGGGTATTAGCCAATCACCGAAATGCGATCAAACCAGTCAACCAATCCGTCGTGGGAACGTTTTTGATCTCAGTGAAATAACAAGAAAGCTGAACTGAAAGACGGATGTCCTCGTGGGTCTACCTTATATAGTTCAACCATGCAACAGACGACCTACAGGCCGACGAGAGAGGCTCTATACGTTCATTTATTGCGGACACCCCGAAAAGATGGAAAAGGCTGTTAGACTAAACAAGCAACAGACATAAATAAAAATATAACTCACAACTCACTGCAGTGAGTGACAGATAGCGCATTTTCTCGTACATGACGAGCACAATAGCGCCTTTTTTTCCATAAATGAGAAAATGCGCTAATAAGGCTCCATTCGAAATTTTTCTTTACCATTAGTTAATGTCAACATGTTTCGTTGTCAGGGATATGATCTTATTTTGTGATTTTTAAAGCGCGTCAGAGAAATGATAGGATAACCTTTCAACTAAGCTGTAAAATTTAAATACACTCCACAAGGACTGCAGGGTATGACGACGGACATTGTAAAATGGGTGTTGTACAAAACATTAATTGAATTCGGTTCATTTCATTATGAGTTTGAGCAAGACAATAAGAAATTGGTCCCGAGCCTTACGATCGAATACTTTAACATGTGATAAATGGCATGCCAAAAGTCGCACCTTCACCACTAAATAAACTTTTCCCTCTCGCTGCTCGTATCAATGCTACTCCTCCCGTGCATAACTTGGGCATTTATTCCAGTCAAAGTTCTCTTTTATGTGGATCGTCGCGCGGTCCTGTGAATACACTTTAGTTTTTTCGGATTTAAGGTAAGTATTTTTTTGCTCTAATATTGAATAAAATGGCTGTTGCGTTGGACATTTCTCTTGCAAATTAGTGCTTGGTATTCGAGTTGAATAACTTCGAGTAGGGGGTATCTTGAATCATGTATGCTGTGATTTACCGTTTTGCAATGTTCAAAATGGCATAAAATGCTACTCCAAAGCTTATTATTCACCAGCTTTATTCTAACATCTAGTAAAAATAAATCAATGCTGGTGTAACTTTATTTTTTACGTAATTCAATATGACGCATAAACTTTTTCACGGACAGAAGTCATTCAACATGCCCGGCCTATTTGAAAAAATAGATAAGTCAATAAAAATTTATCTATCAAGTATTTAATCAATGTAACGCTTGATGATTCCATTGAGATTATGAATAATAAGCGGAAGCTTTTGCGGATTGTTGGTAATAACTCACAAGAAATTCCAAAGTGTAACCGTGTCATCGAAGAAAACGCTTTCGTGAAAGAAAACGACTGTTTTGGAGGCTAACTTCGACAAAATATTCAAGTCGTCGAAACGAGAATAACTAATCTGTAGTCTCTGGGCTTATTTCAAGCTGCCATTATTTCCAGACGTTGAATTTTTAAGAGGGAAAACGTTTATTATCATTGAGATACATCAGGATTTCAAAAACACGATTTTGGTTTTTCGTATCCTTTCTTAAATTTTATATATTGACGTGTGTCAAAAGATGAGTTGCTCAGACCTTATACAGTCCAAACTCCAAGGTGAATATATCAGTATATATAATACGTTTCAGTTTATCGTGTTAGATATCAGATGAATAAAAAATCATTATCACTCTTGAGTTTCACTAAATTAGTTTCACAATATATGTTCGTTAACCCGA